TATATATATATATATATATATATATATATATATACTATTTATTCATTTAAACAGTCCCCTTTCGACAAAATTTTGCAAGAGTTAAATAAGCATTTGCCCCCGCACTCTTCTGTAACGTATGTTAAGTAAACTTTGCACCTTGAGAAATCATTCCCATCACTGATTCAAAAAATTTCTTTGTATTCTCTACCTTTAACTTTTGTGTTCCATTTATGTACCTAAGGTGAAGATGAAAGCAAAAGTTGTTCCTTCCCCCTCAATGGCAAAAACTCTGAGGGAAAAGCTTTAAATTCCCCCAAATGACCTCAAAAAATGTAATTTTTCAGTTTCCTTTTCCCTCATTTCGTTCCTCCCTCTTTGAACTACCTTTTAAAAAAGTTTTATAAATTACCTCAGCTTAAACTCACAATGAAGTTGTCGGAGCAAGTTGTAACCGTCCTCCAAGTAAAGAACTTTTGATGCGAAGCCAATTACAGGAAATCATATTCGGTTTTTTACAACTGTGTAGAGTACTTGGTAAGTTAAAGACTGTTTTCTTTTGTAGACATGACTTTTCCTCCTTTCTTCAATTATAAAATTTTTAACTTCTTTTTGCCAAAATTTCAGCAAGATCCGTGTATTTCTTTATTACTGCTCTGCAAAGTTCTAAATTTTATGTAGAATTTCAATATTTCTTCACAAAAATCATAAAAAATCATTTCTAAGTGGGGTGCCGTACGAAAAAGAGTTTAATCAGAATAAAGCTGAACATGCCAAACAGAAGTTAAGTAAGAAATATATAAACGTTTTCAAAGGCCGTAGTTTTCTCAACTGAAAATTGCACTGATACAACAACGGTTACCAACGGCAACATTTTTGTAGTTGACAACTACACGTGTATTTTACTTCCAACTAAAAGTCCCTTCTTAGTTGAGATTCGGCAGCAGACAGCATCTCTATTTTAAGAAAGTAACAGCAAGCGAAAGCGAAAGACAGAGGGAAGATGAAAAAAAGGGAAGAAAACGACGATAGTCTTCTTCTCCCCTCCAAATGAAGTAAAAAACTGAACTGAGCAACGTGTCAGATCTAACGAATCAAAAATTTAATTTTTACTTCTGCCAAATCTAAACG